AGTCGTTGAGGTTAGTTGTGTACCCACTAATGATAAACTCAAGCCAGAACTCACACAGATAGCTCAGATTCTTCTATAAACTCCATAGTATTGCACTTGGAAGCTTTTAAAAAGGCTGTTCATGATTTTAAAACTTACATGGCAAAAAGAAGGATCTTCAGTACCCAGAATAGTGTAATATTGAAAAGAAATACAAGGTCATGGTACTTGTTTTACTGGGTACCCCATGCCTCCCCACCAAAGCACTAGAAATTAAATACAGTAATTTACAAGAGAGAACAAATGGACTAAAACCCAGAATGTGAGTCCATGTGTGAAAAGACATGGCATGCCAACCAACAGGGTAGCCTGGGCTACATATATGAGACACCCAAAAGCAAAAAATAAAGAAAGAGCAATGGTTCAGCAGGTAAAAGGGCTTGCCACAGAAGACTAGCAATGTGGGTTTCATCCGTGGAAGCCATGGTAGAGGAGAGAGTTGTTCCAGAAAGTGCTGCCCAGAGCTGTACATGTATACTATGGTATACACATATCCACATGTATACACACTCATACATACACTTGTGCTCATCATAACTCACACACATGCACGCATGCATACACACACACACACACACACACACACACACACACGCACGCACAAATACAAAATTTTCAAAAATTGGAGAAAGGTAAAAAGAAGTACAGCACTCTTTGCCCATCTCATGCCTTGCTTATTGTTTGTTTTGTAAACATAATAGGAAGATAAGCTATAACACATTCCAGTTGTTTATAAAACTTATAGGAATAACAAATTTGGGGGAAGGAGAAACAAACAAATAAAAACCAATTTTAATATAACAAGTTTATATAAGTGCACAGATAGGGGTGTGGGTGTGTGTGTGTGTATGAAGGAGGAGGAAAGTGAATAGAAAAGAAAGAATGTGAATTTGATTTTGATTCAAGGTAGTATTTCAGCCATGTGTTTCACGGCACAGTATGCATTCCTGAGAACTTTTTCTGTCTTTTTAAAGTTAATTTTATAAGAGTAGGAATGTATTTTCCTGTCCAAAGTGTTGAGTTCAGTTTAAGGCAGCTTCCTTGTTCTGTTAATTAAACTTTGGGACATTGAAATTGGCTGAGAAAAATGACTGAATAGAGAGTATTACTCTATTCATAGACTTCTAGCCTACACAAACAAACAAACAAATGAATAAATAATGAGACGCTAAGGGGCCTGCCTGCCACCATTCCATGCAGCATGGCAGGGGAAGACACTGAGAGTCCTGCCTGGAGCTATACCATGCTACATGGGACACTGCATGGCACAGGCTTGCTGTAGACTCCCAGAGGCTCACCTGCTGTCATACTACATGGTACCAGGTGTATGAAGGACACACAGAGGCCTGCCCCTCTGCCATGTCCTGCAGTTCCAGCAGGAGGAAGACACCAGAAGCCCACCAGCCACTTGGCCCTCGACAGTGGGAGCCACTCTGATGTGCATGTATGTAATGGACAGATGGGAGAGAGAGAGAGGCTGAGAGAGATGGAGCTGGAGGCTCAAGGCTGGAGAGGTGTGTCCTGCTGTGGGTGGCCTGGGCTGCCACCTGAGACTATGCTGATATCCAGGGGTTGTGCATAGCTGGTTCCACCCCTCTCGATAGCTGCAGCATGTGTGAGAACATGCCTTGCACCTCACCTGTATGGTAGAGTGGAGATGGCCCTGATGACATAGATTCGGCCCACAGGCATGAGAAGTGGAGAACTGGCTCTGCCCCTTTCTGCTGCTAGCTGAGACAGTGTTGGAGAGCTCACCCTGGTGGTGTAGGTGCAGGAGAGCTGACGGGCTGACCAGTTCAGATTCAGAGCTAGATCTAGGGCTTTGAGTTGGGTCACCCCAACATCTCTCTCATCCATGAACTTCTGGAGCATGTGAAAGGACGGATCCTACAGATCCAAAGCTGCAGGACTTCCATGACACAGGGTGACAACAAGAGTTGTCCTGGTGAAGATCCAGTATTGGTGGTGTATCAGAAGCCAGAGGTCTTAAATTAGACCACTGACTACTTGCAATTAAAGAAGTGTGGACAAAAGTGTATACTGTGGGACACACTGGGACACAGTACAGCCTCCTCAGTTATTTTTGTGTTTTGTGTATTTTATTATTTATTATTATTTGCGGGGGTGGTTGCAAAGTCCGAGGGTGGATACAAAGTGACAGAGATATGAGTAGAGTTGGGGGAGTGTTATGAAACTCACCAAGACTCAATACAATTTTTAAATTTCCCTATTTGATTTTTATGCCCTTTTCATTTTCAGCTAAAATCACTTTGGTCTATGATAGTAGTAGCTCAGTTATGTGCTCCTGTAGAAGATGTCATCCTCAAGCTGAAGACGAAGCAAGGACAGTGCTCTCTTCGTTCATAATTGTCTGAGTCAGCAGCACAATGTGGTGAGGCAGGAGAGTTTCCCCTGTCCCCAGCTTGCTGGAGAGCTGTAGTAAAGCCACCCAGCTGTCAGGTGATCTAGCCAGCCACTCTCAAATGTCCTTCTGGCTTCTACCTGGGGGCCTGAGCCATGTCTGTCTTAGGTGGACTTTATCACATGCCACCTGGTTCCAAAAACATTGAAAAACAAATTAGCCAGAACTTGTAAATGCCTCTCAAACCTCTGCCTTTGGCACAGCTGATAATAATTCAGTAGCTCAGGGATGGGTCAGTGTTACAGATCATGCTTTTCACCCATTGTTCAAAATATTCCAAGTTTGACGTTTATTTGTTCCAAGGTCCTTCATTGTCACAGTGTTATTCTTCTATTATGGATACTTTCTTAATTTCATTAAATGCACTCCCCCCAAAACAAACAAACAAAAAGCCCACCACCAACAATGAAAAACGCTGTAGCCTCTGCTCCTTCGTATGCATACACAAAAGTTTTAAGTTCATGTCACTCAAAAAGTAACCAATGCCTTTTTCTTTGTTACTGGCATAAAAAAAGCTTTACCTCATCTTCAGCTTACCCTTTTATCTCTTGATAAAGAAGGCCAAGGTTAGCAACTTATGAATTGGGAAATTGGTCAACTTTACATCACAGATTGGAAGGACATTGGCAGGTCCAGCAGGTCCAGCTTGCTACAGAAATTTTTAGTTTTTGACTCTTCATACGACCACATGCTCAGAACCGGGGGGGGGGGGTTTGACAGATAAGAAACTGTTGGATTGGTTGTGATTAACATTGTGTTTCCTTGTTTCTCTGCTCACTTAAATTATGAGAGTAGTTTTTAAACGCTGTAATTTAAGGGTTTGAGGGTTGACTGAGCTACTAAGAGCTCTGGCTACATTTCTAAAGGTCCAGGGTTTGGCTCCTAGCACCCACAACTGCTATGTTGTACACCACCATGTAGGTGCTGTGAGTCCAAGACATGTCTGGAGGAGCAGCCAGTGCTCTTAATCACTTGCTGAGACACATCTCCAGCTGGAGAATATAATTTATTTTTAATAATATACAGCTAGCACTTATTAATACTTAATGTCAGGCCCTGTTGCTAGCACCTGACATGCTTTGTCTTACTAACCCTCAGAGGATGTGTGAGATAGGCGTGCTTTGCAACTTAGAAATGAGAGTGAAAAATTGAGTAGTTTACCTAGTATTATAGCTAATAAATGACAGAACGAGAAATTGAATGTAGGTAGTCTTACTCTACTGATCATGTCTACGTGTTAACTAGAACAAGATAATTTCTCGTAATTCCTAAATATACAGACCTGATTAAACAAAAATACTAGGCAATTTTACTGAGTTATATGTGACATGAATCTAAAATGTAAACAATGTATGCTGTTTAAGTTTTGATACATATATACATGCTCCAGTGAACCATTATCATGATTAAGATACTGCATTTACCCATTAATCCAAATTTCTTCCTTTTCCTTAGATTTTCTTAAGGTTTTCAAAAAGGTGGTATGGACGTCAACTGTGCTGCCTTGGAAATAGCAATGTACAGGTTGATCACTCCTAATCTAAAAATCTGAAGTAGGCTATGATCTAAAATGTGAAACCTTGAGTATCCACGTGACACAAACAATGGAAAATTCCACACTTGAGTTCATGAGACAGCCTCCCGTCAAAATGTAGGCACACAAAAGCTGTACAAAATTACCTTTAGTCATATATGTTACTTAAATCAGTGTGTTTAGATTTAAGTCCTAGTCCCAAAGTATCTGATTATTTATATGCTACTATTTAAAATATGAAAAAGTCTGTTATCTAAAATGTTTTTAGTCCCAAGAATATCAAAGGGGGATACTCAGACTGCATTACAAAATTATTCTTCTGGTTCAATATCTGCAGTTCATTATAATAGATGGAATACATTTTGTTATATAAAATACTAAATGATGCCAATGTCTAAACCTTAAGGTCTATTTGAACATTAACTCTAGAAGGAATAAGAGCATAAGCTATATTTCATTGTTTCAGTATGTATTTTCATCTTGTAAAATTTCTGTAATGAAATTGTACATTTATGGAAATGGCAAACATGGTGTATGTTCACTCTTGCCAGAGGCCTAGGATTGCATTTGTGCATATAATCCAGTAGTGGTTATTCTCATTGCATGTTATTTATGTTCATTATTATTATTAATTATTACTTGTTGTTTTTTTTTTTACCCGAGTTGAACATTGGCTTAAATGTTAGATCTCTTCACAGTTGATAATGTAGTCAGATTTGAAGCACGTTCTTACTTCACACCTCTTCCCCTTTGATCATGCCAAGCTGTTTACTGTAAGGCCGTATATTTGACATTATTGTGAAATATGCTTGACAATACATTTGAATTAGCATGAGTTGAATTAGCATGCATAAATATCAATCACAGAGAATAGATGAATGATTATAACTTTATTATCAGTTTTTACTTTTCTAATTATATGTAATAAGTGACCATCTAGTACAGTTAGGAAAAACATATCAGCTATTCTTGTCATCTGCATTCTCTCTGTGTTTTCTCTCACAGGGTTACATTTTGCCATCTGCCTTTCCAGAGTAAGTGGCTCTATGTGGGCACTGAACGAGGTAACATACATATTGTCAATGTGGAGTCCTTCACACTCTCAGGCTATGTCATTATGTGGAATAAAGCCATCGAATTGTAAGTCTGAGTAAATATTCTAAATCTGAATGTATCAAGTCTATCTTTATGTAAAAGCCAGTTAGTGAATCCATGTGGGATTGACAGGTCAGGAATTCCTGGTATTATATACAGGTCTTTCAGTCATTCATAAGTATTCTCCTATTTGCATGACAGTTGATACATATAAGCCTTTTATATTCACATACATTTATAAATGTATACTATATTCACCTGTGTGTAAACTGTTACAATTGATAGTTTCAGTGTAGGAGTTATTCCTGTTGGGTTGAAAACACTCACATTTATTATTTATATTCTAATTCAATTATTTCTCTTTAATCTTCTAATTATTTTTTAAGTAGTGGCCATGACTACAAATGTGTTGTTGCCAATGTTTATTAAATACTGATGTAAGCTCTTCTTTCATATCTAATAGCTAAGAAATGTAAATGTTTGTAAAATATATTATATCACCAAGATTAACAAAAATCAGATTGCACTGTGGTGGCCAAAATCTTCAGTTGTAATTTTTACTTACTGAAAGTTTTTTGGTACCATTTCTTTTGTAAGTTTTTACTTAGAATGTTAAGAATAAAGGTTTGAAGCTGTTGGCAACAGTCTTTGAAAAATGCACTCAACAGTTTTAACTTTTTGACACAGAAAATGAATGTGACACATCTCAAACATTTTGGTGTAGCTAGAATAGTGCGCTTAAAGCTAGTTTTCCTTTCTGTGGCAAGGATGTCTCTACCCTCCCTTGGAAGCTGGGGGGTTGGGGGGTGGGGGGAGCTCAGTCTGTTCTGTGTGTTGCTCATGACCTCTGGTGGATGGAGGTGGTCTAAGTCTTCACAGCTCTGAAGTGATACACTTTTTTTTTCCAAATGCATGGGCATCATTCCAGTAATATTTCTTACATATATGCTATCTCTTTCTCTAGTATAGGAATAGGTAGTATTAATAGGTAGTAACATTTGCATGTTTTCAAAATAAAATAAACCAATTTTTTTCTACTTCCAGTATGATCTGTAGAATTGGTTGGACTACCCCAGCTGATACCTAGCATTAAACGTTGCATTGTTTTAAAATATTAACATCACACTGAAAAAAGATTTTCTATGTTAAAATAAATGTTTTGACTAAATTGAAAATCGTTCCTATATAGAAAGTGCAATTATCAAGCTTGTTGTCTTACATCCATATGATTTCACCAGTTTTTCTCTGATTGGTAGCTGACTGAACTATTTTATTCATAAGTGAATCTTTTTTATTGTAATGAATATTGAAACTTTACTTGAGTAAAGAAACCTCATTTTTTTTTCAGGTCATCTAAATCTCACCCAGGACCTGTTGTCCATATAAGTGATAATCCCATGGACGAGGGGAAGGTAGAATTTTTTATAAACAAACACTTGTTAATTAAATCCATGATGTTTTGACTTTTAAATATGCAAACCCTCCTAGGACTGCTCTTGTGCTGAAAGGTTGAGATTGAACCCAGGTTTGTATATCAGACAACGTAATGTTGTTATTCATTGTGAAGAGTCAGTTGAAAAATTAGAATAATTTCTAATTAAAAGGGCTAAAAATACTAAAACATTAGTAAGGTTTAATAAGTGTAGGTTATTCATGTGTCTTTCTTATTTAGAATATTTTCCCTGATTTTCTGATAATGCAAACAGGTTCCTTTGTTTGGTGGTGTCTTCATTCTTAGCAACTTAACTGGCAGCTTTTGTAGCACTTAGCATATGTCCTACTGTCTTATAGCAGTCCATTGTAGGATTATGAAATCCAGCCTCAAGGTTTCTATCCCGCCTTTGACCATCTAGTTCCTGTGTGATAGACACACATAGCCTTATATTTACAGTAAGCCTTAAGCAACCAAGAGCTGGGCAAATACTACTCTCTGTTTTAAAACCCACTTTCCTATCGCTAACCCGAGCGGAGTTAGTAATTACTGTGTACTATGTTTCATCTGGCCAGCCCACAGAGCCACATTTACTCCCAAGCCATGGTGGCTTCTCCTTCGTTCTCCTGCCTTCTTCCCATTGTCGTTCTCCTTGGATCCCAAGCCCAGGATCCCTAAACCCCACCTACGTCTCTTCTGCCCAGCTATTGGCTATCAGCATCTTTATTTACCAGTCAGAGATAACTCCAGGTCTCTGGGGCCCACACTTAGCATTAAAATAGACAGTAAAAGACAAAACCTCAACAATAGTCTATATCTCAGCTTCCTTCATATTTTCTTTATAAATAATCCAACTAATAATATAGATATAGTTTTGTTGTGTTTTAAAGTATTGCTTAATTTTTTGTACTCATGCAGTCTGTATTTAACCATCGTTAATTTAAGCTACTTAATACTTTTAAAAATAATAAAATTTTCTTTTCTATGAAGTTTGACTTTCTTACTTAAACTAATCATCTTTCAGGTAGTTCCATTTAATGACATTTCCCTACCTGTGCAATTTTAGGATGTTTACCTGAATGAGCACCAGAAAATTTGTTTGAAATCAATGATCCAAGCTTTATTTTATGAAGGATTTGACTCAAATGTTTTTTTTCCTCTCAGTTAGTGCAAAAGGGCAAACAAATTATTTCCCACAATTCTCTGAGGTTCCACTAGGAAACAAAAACGTACCTGGACTGTTTGCAATTGGCTAATGGTTATGGAATTTTATGATTGGAAAATGTATACATAAAGCAAATGTATAGTAACCTGATTAGTACTTTTTTTTTTTGCGAGATACTTATTTATAAGCTAAATGCCTGAGTGGGAAGCCTGAGAATTAACAAGGGTCTCTCCTACCTAGAGTTACTCACTAAGTCATTTTGGCACTTGTTTGTAGTGTCTCTTCTCCTGAGGACATTACAGTTGATAGCAGTCTGGCACAGTTTTTTTATAAAAACTTTTATACAATGTATTTTTAATGATGTTTCCCCTCCCTAGCTCTTTCCCAGTTCCCTCCCCAGCAACTCCATGCATGATCTAGCTTCCTTTGTCTCTGGCTTTCTCTCTCCCCACCCCCACATACACATACAATGAAAATCAAAACAAAAGATACAAAAAATCAGCTAGACCAACAAATGCCAAACAAAGTGAAACAACCCCTCACACACACACACACACATACATTGCAAGCACACTCACATGCGTGAGTACAGGCACACACACCACACACACACACACACACACACGCACACACACACGCACACAAACATACACACATTTGTTTTGTGTTATCCAACTATTCCTGGGCATGGGGCCTGCCCTGGTAAGTGGTTGATATACTCAGTGTCACTGCATTAAAGAAATCTGATTTGCTCTTTCCCAGGAAGTATGGATTGTACATTGCTTCTTTGTTGAATTAATTTGGGATTTATTTATAAAATAAATCCCAACAGCATGTTCCTGCTACTCATCCTGATGTTTAATGTTCCCAAAAGGAACACACACACAGCCTTTATGTCTTAGTACCTTAATCAGTGCAATAGCTGGGCCGCTTTCTAACTTCCATGCGGTTAATTCACCTATAATCCCGAGTTATCACTATTAAATTCTATATTCTACCTTGGCTGCCCTGGATCCAGTTATGCAGCCCTCTAGGCCATACTCTTTTCGCTCCTACATGGTGGCTATGCCTCCCTGTCCTCCACTCCACAGGAGTAGTGTCGTGTCTCCTCCACACTTTCTAGGCTCCCCTTCCTCTTGGTCCCAAGCCTGAGAATCCTAAAAGTCCCACCTCTGTTTGCCCTGCCCAGCCATTGGCTGCTAGCATCTTTATTTACCAATCAGAACCAACTAGGGGCAGGGTCCTGCAGTGTAAATGAGGACACAGATTCTTAAGTTCATTAGGATGCTGTGGCTGGTTAAAACATTACTGTGACTTTCTTAGATTATTAGAATGTGAATAGGCAAAGCTAGTTTCTTAAAGTTACAAGTCTGGAAAGTGACGCTTTCATACCTAGGGCTCATTGTCTACATCATGAGCTGCTAACATAGTGTTTGTTTGTAAATTTTTCTTTTCTTTATTGCTGAATTTTCTTTTCTTCTCCATGGGATATTGGCATGTCATATATCTGAAATGTCTAGAGGTATTAGGGAAGGGAGAGGAGATTGTTGCACAGGCTTTCCAGGAGTATGTATTTCACCCCTGATAGCTAATGTTCAGCTCTCTTTCTCCTTTTATAGTCCAGGACCCCAGTCCATGGAAGGCTGCTGTCTACATGTAGGATTGATCTTCCTACTTCAGTTAAAGTAGTCAGATAAACCCTCATAGCCTTGCTCAGAGGCATGACTCTTTGGTGATTCTAAATCCTATCAAAATAATAGTCAGTGTTAGCCATCACCCTGGGGCAGTAGTATAGGGCAGCAGATGAGCACAGTTTATCAGGCTCTATGACGTATGTTAAAGGTCTAATAGTGAACAAGATAGAATTAGTGCTTATGCAGTTTACCACTGTTATAGGCTACAAGAGAACTCCAATAAGGAAAATGCTATGTTGTAACCCTTAAGCCTAGAAAAGAGTTGAGTGTCACTGGAGCACACTGGGTGGACATTGACTTAACATTTGGTACTTTGAGCAAGTCTTCAAAAGAAGCAGTTGCTAAGACCCACCTAAGTGGGATGAGTCAGAGGATTTCATTTAAGTGACATCTCTCAGACAGAAGGCAGCATATACAAACACTCAAATATGAATGTGCATGCAGAAGCAAACTCCAAAATCAATAAATGGAGTGTGTTGGGCAGGAGAGATATGAGGGGAGATTTTGGAGTAGAAAGTAGCAATCAGACAGTAATGAATTTTACAGTTGTATGATTAATTGAGTTTGGATTTTCTCAGGAAAAGAGTGGCAAGGCTGACAAATTTTAAGTAAAAGCTTACATTTCCCTGTCATCTTTAGATTTCAAAACTACAATTTGAAATGGGTCAGAAAAGAGATCTATGTACACTTTTCCAGGAGGTCAGTACTAGAAATGCAGGGATAAGAAGTTAAAGAGATGCAAAACATCATTGTAAATTTACTTGATGATTTTTCTTGTTGACTAGCATTCATTTGACTGAGAGCCGATTAGCTCTGGTGATCAGGACACAGTAGAGAGAGCTACCAGGCTGCAGAGGGAGTATCTAGTCTTGAGTATACTTTCGGGTTTGATTTTGGGAAGCGGGATGGTTATTCGAATGGTGAGCTTGAGTTTCATGAAGGAATGTGGGGTGATTATTTGAAATTAATCAGTATGTACATTGAATGAAATTCCTTGGTGATTTATAGATCTTGGGAAGTATGGAATACTTCAGGCACATACAAATGTACCTTTATATTAGTAATTTTAAGAAACGCATTAGGATATAGACTCTGCTTCCTCTTCAGTATGTGTTGTATTTTGAGTCGCTAATCATCAAAAGCATGTAAATCCATCCTGCTGTGTTCTCATTTGTCATCTGTATGATTAGTAACTCCCTGTACAGGTGTTTAATTATACTAAAGTTTTATATGTGAAGTATATGAATGATAATTAGCTTTATTGTCCACAAATAAGTATTTTACCAAGTAGGTAAATCATTCCTCAATAACATGACCTTTCCTTTCTGCAGCTTTTGATTGGCTTTGAATCTGGAACAGTAGTCTTATGGGACCTTAAGTCAAAGAAGGCTGACTACAGATACACATACGACGAGGTACCAGCTATGTTTATTCTCACTAAAGCTCTTGGCATTGCTATAATTCATGACTTCTTCTCTTAAGAACTAAATGTTCAGTTTCTGCTTAGATTTGATTTTAGGTTAGTTACAGAAGTTTTTCTAATTTCACTGAAACAGATTTTCTTCCATCTATAATACATTCATATCACCTTCAGTTACCACTGTTTGAAGAGTCAGAACACACAGTGCATTGCTGCTGTCTTTCACTAGTGAACTTTCTGGGTCATGGAGTTCCCTCTGGAAAGTGACATCATCATATCACACATGACATAGCTGCAGAGATCCCCATACACTCCTTCTATAGCACAGCCTGGCAACTTCAAGGAAGACTGTTCTCTTTAATATTTCCCTTTGTTTAGATTCGGATCACACTGCTTACCAATCACATCCCAAAACAATAGATGTGTTTCCTCTTACTTGTTTAAAAATACGTTAAACAGCTTTGCTTTAGCTTCTCAGCACCGATCACATTTTATGGACATAATTTCACTTACAGTATATATAAAGGTATAGCTTATTTTAAGATTGAGATTTTAGAGTGACTTAAGTATATTGTAGACCAGTTTATATTAGTATTCTATTTCAAGTTTTAATAGAAATACTTTGAATCAGAAATGTTGTATTAAATGATGGCGTTTGCGGTATCTGCTCACCAGCATGTAAATGTTTTTATCCAACCTGTATTACAATACTGTATAATTTTAACTTAAATTTATAAGCACACAAAGAACCCAAATAAGCAGACATTGAATTAATTGAGACTGTTGAGTATGTATGTATAATAGACCTTTTTTGGGGTTTCATTTGAATGTGTTCTTGCTGTGCTGTGTAATTCTAGTAGTTCAGCAGGGCACCTTTTAAAGTCTGCTAACCATTAAGACTGAAAAGTACATCACCATGACTTGAAAATAAGAAATTCAAAGGAAACTGCTGGAATTGATTTTCTAAAAATACAATTTTATAGAGAAAAGTCATAATTTAGAGCCAAAAACAACAACAAGAAGAAAAATCAGTGAAAATAAAATATTTTCTGGATAGTAGATTAGAAGTATAATATTTTAATTAAAAAAACAGTCTGCTCCTGGTTCTGAAGAGATGGCACAGCCTGTAAGGGTCTCCTTGAGGGACTAAAAACATCTCAGAACAACAGATGCTTTTCGGGTGATGCAGATTTGATTGCCAGCATCCACATTGTACCTTACAACTGTTTGTAACTCCCATTTACAGAGGATCAGTGTCTTCTGGCCTCTGTCTGTGTGTGCTAGGAACACACGTGGTTCACACACATACACACACACACACACACACACACACACACACACACAAATACTTACACATCCAGGCAAGAGACTAATGTACATGAAATAAAATAAGTAAAAGGAAAAGTGGGTGGCCTCCCAGATTAAAACCAGCCTCCATAATTACTGTAAGGTATTGAAAAGATGTTCTAATGGCCATCCTGTCATTGATCTTAATCCTAAATATATGTTGTGAATTTTAGGATAGATTTTTTATCTCATTAAAACAAGTTCTAATCTCTCAGGTGACTCATTTCTTCAATCAGGCATTGTTTGGTAAACTCTAAGAAAATTCTGTTCTTGAACTTGTCAATAAATTGTGCGTATATTATTATAGCTTCCTAATACAAATTTAAGAAATACAATGATTAGGAGGGATTAAACAGTTTCAATATGAAGTGTCTTATTTGTATTATAAGAGGACTAAGTTATTTTGAGAATGTAGGTAATGTTTTGTCTAGCGTGGAAGCCCAAAAAAATTCATGAAGATCATTACCAGACTATTCATTAGTAGTTTGATAACACAATTCTTCACCCCTCTGTAGGCGATTCACTCTGTGGCTTGGCATCATGAAGGAAAACAATTTATTTGCAGTCATTCTGATGGTACTCTGACCATATGGAATGTGAGGTCCCCTACTAAGCCTGTACAGACCATCACCCCTCACGGTAAGGATTCCTTTGCTTTTAAAGACCACCCAAATTGTAATGGACTGTTGTCTGCTTTTTGGGATTTGTTTTAAATGAGTGAAAAATAATGTCATCGTTTCATGGAATTAATATTATAGTATCTTCTAAGTATCATTTCTTCATTTGTCCAAAAGGCAGATCATGCTATGAATTATAAGAGACTAAACTTTTATCATCTTAAAATGATCACAATCTGTTAATGTATATGTAGCAATGTGACTGAAACAGGAGAGTCTTAAGTAGAGGTAATTCTGTATATTGAAGCATGGCGTCTTGAATATCAAGGTCATTGGGACTTTGTTGGTTCACTGGCAAGACACATGGGACTTGGCAGGCACAGAGCCAGCTTCCTGCAGTGTTTGTCCCTGAAAAGAATGTAAGCAGACCATGAAAAAGGAAAGGCACAGAGGGTGAAGCTGAGGAAATCAAACTGATCCAAGGACCAGACTGCCTTTACTGCCGTAACAATGAGCTGTCGCTGCATGTGTGAGCACTGCCTACGAGAGAGGCTCACTGGGCTTAGGCATCCAAAGTTTATCATCTTTGTAGTGACTACAGGGGTCACTCATGTAGACACACTGTCTTAATAGACACCAAAATTCTAGGACTCTTGGATGGAAAACAGGTTCAGCATGATTACATTGTATGTTGACACAGTGTGGACACAGGGAGGCCATTTGTCAGTGAGGACACAGTAAGAGCTACCACACACCAGCCAGAAGCCAATTTACAACTTGATCTTTCTAGGATAGCAGACTCAGGCTATGATGACTCTTTTGTACACAAGTGGTATTTTCAAAGTCTATAAGAAATTATCATAAGCAGACTGAAAATGACTTCTGTTGGTTTTGTAATCCACGTCTCTGTACTTATAAATGAGCATTTCCACTTCACACCTAAGAGAACGTCCATATCAAGCTTAAAGAAATAGTAAGGATCTGTTGCATAATTATATCCTGTGGAGTGGTGAACCCTGAGAGAAGCCTGATAAGGTCGAGCTAAGGCTTGAAGCCCCGGGGACCCTGAAGGGTAGGAGCTTTGCCTGCTCCCAGCACCAGGCTCCAGTCACATAGCCACAGCCTCCCATAGACAGAATAGTGGTCATCAGTAACTCAGGGGCTGTGCCCCCCAAGTCCCTCCTCATTTAGATGGGTCATCTCAGGCCAAGCCCATAGGAAGCACCTGCTATCAGACCCAACCCACCCTAAAACTGTATATGATCCTATGCAGAAGAAGTAAAGGTGTGTGAGAATTACTTTGAGAGTGTCTTTCGCAAGAGCTGTAACACTGCCTGGGAAGAGAATGCTGTCCTGAAGCTCTCACCACTAGAAGCTCCCATGCACTTTGCTCACCAAACAGCTCAAGTCCATACAGCAGTGCAGTCTCAGCGTCTCAGACCTCAGCAGCAGCAGCAGCAGCAGCAGCAGCAGCAGCAACAGCAATGGAAGTGGCAGAGGGACTTTCCCCTCCCTGCTCACACCTTTTCCCCTTTGCTTGAATCCTCCCCCTGGGCAGGGCCAGAGATCTCCGTGGATAGCATCTGGTACACAGACATGTACCAACAATATCCTACTTTTGAAAAGTTACACACCCTGCATGTTTGCAATGTAGATATTAGAGAAAAAATAAAATTGAAATCATAGTTAGGAGAGTGTTGTCACACGCCTATAATTTTAGCACTCAAGAGGCTCATGGGGGAAAACATGAGTTCAAGACCAGCGTGGGGCACATATCAATATGCTGTCTCAAACAAAGGAGTGAACAGTGAACAAAGTTTAGGATTTTGCTTCCTGTGGCAGTTTCATGGAAACTCAGAGTTTTTGACAGCACATCCATGGAATATTCTCCACTCTGCTTTGTGATAGCAGGAAAGTGCTGAATTTAAATTTGATGCAGGCCTCCTTGGGGAGAGGGAGGCGGATATTGCTTAGTTCTTAATTTTCTTCATATACTTTTGTTCTTTACATTAGTGCCTGGGTCCCTAATCCTTTTGACATTTGAGAAACTTCACATACATCTTAGAATCTCCTAACAGCCTAGAAGCTATGCCTTTAGAAAACAGTGTCTAGTCATAAGGGCCATGAGCTCCCGAGCTTCCCATTTCAGCTGCATGAGAAGATGCAGATACCAGCTCCATCTCTACCAAGGATGCTATAAGTATGTAAGCCTCAGTCACATATTGGTGTTTGTCTGCTGGGATTTTTCCAGACAGGGTGTAATGTAGCCTAGCTTCTCCTCGAAGTCTACCTGTATTTTTGGGATAACCTTGAACTTCCTGCCTTTTCCTCCTCTAAACAGCTGGATTTCCAGATGTTATAGAGCTCTAACTAGCATGAGGCTCTGAGTTTGATACCTAGCACCTGCAAATGCAAAAGAGATGGGGGAGGGAGTGTACCATGGGTATTGTTACATTTTGACTCTTCGAAGATAAGTTCAAGGCATGATACGCATGGCATCTTCAAGGCTTTCTTGTCTGCTATGTTAGTAACAAGCATATATCCTGATCTGAACAGCCAATGAATTAGATTTGGATGTAATAGCCCTCCAGTGCCTTAAGCTGGGTAGTTCTTGACCCTATTCTTAACTTTAATACCTGATAATTTATGAGAAGTACAGGTCAGTTATTTGCAGACCGTGTTTCTTCTAGATTACATACAGACTGTACTATTCACCATTCTAGTCCCCAAACGACCAACACGCTTTATTTTTCCTTCTCAAGGGGGCTTTATTCTGCATTTGTCCCATATTGGTAGTATTCATCCATGACCATTTGGTTAAGGATCTGTGTGCTAGCTGTGTCTCTATTATAAAGCTAGACTTTCCTACTTTAAAATTAATAAGCAAATCTATTTGTAATTTATGTTGTAATTAATTTAACAGGTTTAGGGGAATACATGCCATTATTTCTGAGACTTTTGCTCTACAGTTTTCACTTCTTTTGATGTTTCTTGGATGGATTGGAGCCATAATGTTGCCAAATGAAGATTTTTCTATTTAACTTTGACTTTTTAGACAACAAATGCATTTTTTTCCCCAGAGGAAACCTGAGGAAGCAGTATAGATACGTTTCTACAGTATCTATAGTCTCTTGACAGAAAAGAGTCACTAGCTGGACTTACTGTTAACACAGTAAGGAAAAGAACATTTGGTTTACATTTTTTCAAAGCTAAAGGCAAACAGTATAAATAAAACACATTATTTTCTTGTAGCAGTGTGAAGAAATAGGATAGCTTTCCTTACACAGTATAGCTGTCAACAAGGAGATGGTTTTATTGCATGTTTACTTTTATTTCTATAAAATATTTTATATATAGCTAAATTTTACAGGAAGTGAATTAGTTTCATGAGTTTTATAATGTCTTCTCTAAGTGCTTAGCTTGCCACTGGCAGTGGTAACATACCAACACTAGATTTTTGTTACCAGCTGAGTTTACAGCTAATTCAGTCTTAGTAAACTTAGCTGAGTTTACAGCTAATTCAGTCTGTAATGTAACTTCAGTACATTACAATGCAAAAATGTCTGATATACCAAAACAATATACTATTCTATAGGTAGTATATTTGTGATACATAATTTTCAGATCTCAACTACTCATTCTAATAGAACAAAGTTTAGTTCTTTCAATTTTCATACTTCTATTATAACTTCTTGTTTTAAATTTTAGCCTAATGATTGCTAAATTACTCTAAACATACTTTATTTTTAAATGTTTGTGCATCATTAGTATTGGTGAATTTTGATTAGTGATAGCCCCTGTACAGTATAAATAGTGTGCTAGCATGATACTTAGTGTGACCATGCTTAATGCTGTCGTATTGTGCTTTCTTCTTGTGTTGCTGAGGATCGAACCCAAGTCCTGCGTGTTAGGCAGAAGCTCTGCCATTGTGCTTAGTAGGCAGGCAGGCACTTTGCCTACTGAGCTGTGTTTCCAGCCCTGAGCTTCATACTTTCTTGAAAGATGTGTTCAGAAGACATAACAAAACATCAGCCTAATGTGGGATTTTAAAACAGGAAAGCCAGTTAGCATTTCTGAATGTCTTTATTATCTATAACTAGAAATGATGAAACTTAATCCAGTTTCCCCATGCTGCTCTGAGAATTGTGTTTATTTATTCAACACATGTTTATTAGCTCAGTTATATGATTATAAACCATATATATATATATATATATATATATATATATATACATACATACACACACACACACACACACACTCTAGTGTGATCTACTTGAGATTTGGGGGTTGTATTTACTTCGCAAGATAGATGAATGTTCCCGTAAAATACAGTTCTGTTTTCTATACACACCTGGTGGTTTGTTTTGGGGTTATGAGTTGTTTGGTGCAAGAAGTATAGCAGTTTTTAAAGGTTTTGGCTTGCTGAATTAAAGTTGAAAATTCTCTTCCTGGCATAACACAGCAGACAATTTTTTGATCACCTAAAACAAGCTAAGGTAGTGTCTCTTTTTATCATAGTCCTTATGAATATCAAACCATTTCCGTGGGAAGCAGACAACCCTGAGTCTTTTACCAGCTTTGAGATACATAACAGACTTTGTAAGGGAGCTGGTAAGGTAGGTAGCTAAGTGGGTAAAGCATTTATTTGCCTTGCAATTGTGAGAACCAAAGTTTAGATCTCTGAAATCCTTATAAAAGTTTAGGTTCATAATGGCAGACACCTATAATATGAGTACTCCCAAGGCAGAGGCAGGGGATATCTTGAGCAACATGGCTACCTAAGTTAGCAGAAATCATCAGGCTCGGAGTTCAGTAGGAGGCCCTGCTCTAATTTAAAACGTGGAGAGCCATTAAGGACGGACACCTCACGTCAACTTTGAGTCTCCGTTTATATGCACATTTCTATGTACACATGTACACATACAGATAGAAACATGAACACACA